ACCCCAATGCACCATCTTAGACCCTCTACTTTTCTTTCTCTACGTTAATGAATTACCGCCGGTGCTTAAGTCGTCGACATTATTGTTACCGGATGGTGCAGAAATCTGGAGAACAATAAGAAGTGAGGCTGATCGTTTTGATCTTCAAGCTAACTTATATAAATTAGTTAGATGAGCTCAAGGATGGGGCTTATAGGTCAATGCTAGGAAGAGTGTGCTCATGCATATCGGACACGGTAATGATTACCACTATACTATTGATGGTACATCTCTTCCACGCGTTAAAGGACATAAAGACTTAGGAGTAATAATAAGTCATGACTTGAAAACAACTACGCGTTGCAACGTAGCTGCTGTCAAAGGTTTTAGTGCGTTATGGCCACTTCTCCGAGCATTCAAATGCTTTGACGAGGAAATGTTTCGAATTTTATACCTCACCTATGTAGGACCACATTTATAGTGCTGTATCCAAGCAGCTAGCCCATACCTGATAAAGGATACTATCTTACTTGAATGTGTTCAACGTGTGGGAACAAAAGTAGTGAAGGGTCTTTCTAAACTCCCTTACGATGAGCGTTTAAAACGCCGAAACCTTTTCCCCTTATCTTGACGTAGGATGCGAGGTGACCTTATACTGGCATTTTGTATCTTTAATTATGATTTGGGTGTTAATTTGTCTTATCCTGTTGCTGCCTCCAGCACTATCAATCCCTGAGGTCATAGCAAGAAGGTTCACAAACCGCCACCTAATAAATTTAAAGTGAAGTCCCGCTTTCTCATCGAGTAGTCAATGACTGAAACGCCTTACCCGAACAAGTATCAGCCCAAACAGTGAATATTTTCAAGGAGAAACTTTACCTTCATTGGAAGGTAATCTGTCAGGATTAACACAGTTTCAATGACATACAATCCTTATTATGAAGACTTAAAACTGAAGACTTGGTTTCAAAATCTTCGGTATTCGACAAGTTATTATGAAATCAACTTTTATCGATGGCGGAAATCATTTGAGGTGTTTACTTCTATCCTTATAAGGCATGTAAAATGGACCTCTCACAATCATGTCTCTTGACAATTAAACACGTTCTAGAATGTCCTCTTAAAACAGTGATTTATTGCTTGAACTTCAAACTTCAAATACTGCCTTACGTTTGTAGTAGAAAATAAATCCTTTAAATAAATAGCTCTCTAAGTCTTCGACATTCGGTGCTGGACTCACATAGATGAAGGCACCTCATTAAGCATTCACGCCAGATCGCGAGTGAATACACCGTGCTACGTATCCCTCTCAACCATTAGATATATTAAACAAAACGTTCCTTTCAAATATGTTTTCCAAATTCTTCGTTCCTTACTTCTGATTTGACTAGGTTGGTATAGTTTGATTACTAAGGTGTTACTGGTTAAGGTGTTGTCGAACTTCCAATACTTGTGGTGTATTTACATTCGTCGTGTATAAAATCTAAGACATTTATTCAACCAAACTAAAAAATAACTTATGAAAGCTTAATATGAATAACAGGGTCTTAACATCTACCTGAAGTTCTGTGATTGTCAAATATAACTAGCAATTCTCATATTACCACCTTATATAAAAATGTCCCATTTCTTTTACTTACTTAAATGCTTGTTCCTGATGCCCCTAATAGAGGATCACAAACCTACCACCATCATTCTCCATTCAACTCTATTCTGAGCCATCTTTTTCAGTTGCTATTTATCCTTCTGATATCTTCCAATTATCGACGCAGTGTGTTTTTCGGCCTTCCCCTTTTCCCTTTACCTTCAGGATTCCAAGTTAGCTCTTGTCTCGTGATGCAGTTTGATGAACTCCGGTATGTGTGTTCTATCCACTTCCAACGACTTTTCCCAATTCCCTATTCAGTTGAAAGTCTGTTTATTCTTTCCCATAGCAGGTTGTTGCTGAAGATATCCGGCAAACGGATATTCAGTATCTTGCATAGACAATTGTTTATAAATACATGAACCCTTTTGATGATCGTTGCAGTAGTTCTCAAAGTTTCAGCTCCCTACAATAGAACTGTCTCTACGTTCGTATTGAAGATTCTCACTTTAATATTGGTTGACAATTGTTTTGAGTTGTATATGTTCTTCAAGTGTAGGAATAGTGTCCTTGCTTTACCGATCCTCACGTTCATGCCTGCATCGGAATCTCCTTGTTCATCGATGATGCTGCCCAGATGGGTGGGTGAAAGTTTCCACCTCATCCAGACTTTCTCCATCAAGTGTGATTGGTTGGTGTTCTTCGTGTTGTATTTGAGGATCTCGCTTTTTCCCTTGTGTATGTCGAGGTCTACTGATATAGAGGCTGATGCTACACTGTTTGTCTTGACCTGGAATCGTTCGTGTGTATGGGATAGAAGGGTCAGATCATCTGTGAAGTCCAAATCGTCTAGCTGCATCCAGCCAGCTCATTACATCCCGTGCTTCTCCTAAGATGTCAAGGTCTTCATAATTCAGTCAACTTCCAGAAGAAAGAGGAAGGGAGGGAATAAGCAGATATGTCTGACTCTGGTCCCCACTTGGAGTGCATCTGTCAACTATCCTTCATCCACGACTTTGCACTGTGGTCCGTCGTATGAATTCCGAATAATATTAACGATTTTCTCATGTACTCTATAGTGTAGAAGAAGTTTCCAATATGTTCTCCTGTCCACACTGCCAAATGCTTTCTAATAATCAAGGAAGTTGGCGTATGGTGACGAGTTCCATCCAGTTGATTGCTTAACTATAATCCGTAGTGTTGCGATTTGATCTGTGCACCACCGACCCTTACGAAGTCTAACCCTTCTCTAATCTACTGAATACTTTTTGCGGGTCAACAACACTGTATTAAAAACTTTTCCTGGTATATATAGTATTGTGATGACTTTGTAGTTCTCACATTCGCTCACATATCATTTCTTTAGAATCTTGGTGAGGTACCCTTCTTTCCAGTCCATCGACACTTGTTTTTCCTCCCAAATCTTCATGAATAGGATATGGAGCATATTTCCAGTTATTTCTGTGTGTGACTTCAGTGCTTCAGCAGGTATGTTGTCTGGTCCTACTACTTTCCCTCTACTGATTCGTCTTGAGGGAAGTCTATACTGAACCTTCGTGATGCTGTTTCTTCAGTTATCCAGTGTTTCTTTATCCTCAGTTTCATTTTAGCAACCACCAGGTGGTGATCTGCAGCTATTCCAACTCCTCTCCTGGTTCTCACATCTTCTATTGACCTTCTGAATTTTTCAGTGATTGATCTGATTCTCTGTAATATGATCTGGTGAGTCACATGTAGCCTTAAGCATGCGTTTTCGAGGGGAAATATTGCCTTCTATAACCATTGTTTGAAGGTATATAGATTTGCAAGTCTGTCACCATTCTCGTCCCTTTCTCCCAGTGCATGTCATCCCATGATGTCTTCATACCCGGTGTTTTCCATTCCGGCTTTGGCGTTTAGGACTCACACCAGGATTGTCAGGTCTTTTCCTAGGCAGTTTGCTATGACCGACTACATCTCGTAAAACTGATTTTTGTCGTCGTCATTACCATCATTGGTGGGTGTATAACATGGGTTAATATTCGTTGTGATTCTCTCCTATGTTTTAAATAGGGCTTTGACGATCCTGGATCCATAATATTCTCATTCAACCCAACCATACTCTTTTACCCGGGCTCGGGATCCGCAGCAAACCTAATAGGGCTACCGGGGGAGTTAGTATATTATGCTACTGACTAATAGTTTAACATATTGGCTGAAGAGAAAACGACAAAATACAATGGATTCATAGTATTCTGCAAATATTGCCATTCTTCCTTCTTTTAAATCTTTAAATGGCACCATGTGTATCAAGTAATTGGTATTCATTGGAACGCAAACCGCATATGACATAAGACTGAACCAGATTTCTTGATGGACTTCGTAAAATTAGCTAACGTGGTTTTTTATGAAATAAAATTTTGTTATGTAGATAAGGTTTTAAAGTTTAGTGGTTGTCTGAAATACCAATAGTTTTCGATAGTTTTCACTTATTACTTTCTGTATGTCATCAAATAAACTATTTAACATAAAGTAATAGACACAAGTTCCTAATTTGGTAACTGGTTCATATTCATACACACTCTCTCAATGTGAATTAAGATTTTTGACTGATTAAGTAAACTGCTTTACACTATAATGAATATCAAGGAATATCATTATTCTACCTCTGTAATAGTTTAGATGAAATGGGATAAAAATCACACATCTGTTTCACAACTTTGATGTGATCGGAGTATTATATAAGCTGAAGTTACTCGTAACGTTCTCAATGTTCGTTCCTTGAGTACTTTATATCAATGCATAAGTTTCATAGATTTCTTTTCAAGAGTGCAGAGTTATTTAGATGAAAAATAAATAAAGTGAAAGGTGAGGTTTGAAACGATATCCTTAATAAGTATTACGTTCTTATAACCAGAACTTACCCATCAAATTAATAAAAAAAAATGACTAGAAGTACAGGAAACGACACATTAAAAAAAATATTGTGTATAACATCGGCTATTAAATGTAGAACAATAAATATATTCATGGAAAAATTATCTCTCTATACACGTGTTTACCCAATCACATTAAAGATAAATATCTATAACCGTGTAAATACGCATGATTTTATTTTATTCCTTTCTGATTGGTTAATAAAACGCATTATGAAGAAAATATTTTTATATTTGAGAAAAATTGATGATAATACAAGTTAATGAAGAGGTGATTAAAATTGAGGAAAAAATTCATTAAAATCTTCTTAAACAAACGAATCAACACACTAAAATAATCATTATGCAATAATCATATGTATTTAAAACAGTTTTGCATTTACGAAGTGAACTTATTACCCAGAGTATTTAATTTTAAACTACTAAACAGATTAATTAATTATTTACATATAATAACGTTTATCCTATAAATTTCTGTCTAATTTTTTTGTTCATTATTGTTACTGCTACAACTCAATACAATGGATCATGCTTTTTCAATAGCATCACTGTTAGATGGTAATAAAACAAAATTACTGAACAATCTAAATTATACAAATAATAATGAACACATCTATGACAATGCTCAAAGTACAGTTGGTAATAATTCGAATTGTATTATGCGCGGTGAAAACAATAATACACATAATCTATTTCTACAAAATAACAATTCTTTTCAGATAAATTCACTGTGTACAACAATGATTTCTAAAGTGAATTTACCGTTTGGTATAACACGATCAACAAGGTCAGTAAATGACTCTATTTTCTGTTCTAAATTACACCATGATGATTTTCATGATTTAAAAAATCCATCCGACTCAATTCAAAGACAAGATGTTGATGGAACTGATCGAACCTCTTTAAGACAGAAACATCAAGGGATTAATGATAGTACTAATAACAAGAATTCCGAAAACCATTCATCAATGGATCAAATCGATTGGACATTTAACAAACATTATCAAAATAAGAATGAATCAAATCTTAATGAATCCTGTAACAATAATACCTATAGTTCGGATCATAATTTGCAGAAAAATAACGAATTAATTTCCTTGTTCAGTCACATCAATAAGATTAGACGTGACCATGATAATAATAATAATGATAACAATACAGCTGATATTACTTCCACAACTGCTAGTAATACGATCGATAATTTCACTGAAACATTGATCAAAAAGTGGTCTACAAATGATGCACAATTAAATTTAGTCACCAAATCACTTTATGATACTTCGAATATACATGATGCAAATGACAATTCTAAAAATGGTAGTTTTAATACAAAAAAGTTTGACAAAAACTTGAAAAGTATGAAAATATTCACAACTGAAAATCATAATGACGATGTATCTAAGAAACATTTAGATACTAACCAAATGTTACAATCACAGATACACTGGTATAATTCGAATATTATTAAACGTTATTTTGAAGGTCATGGTAAGTTGATAATTACTCTGCATAAGACTACTAATTAAACTTTATTCTAAGACATCTAAAAGTAAACCGATGAAATATTGAAAAGAATAATCAAAGCATTTTACTTAGTAAGCTTATATCAAAGTTCAAAATACACCGAAAATAGGACATAAACAGTAATAAATCATAAGTTTATCGTTCTTAAGAATTATTCAGTAAATGGAAATAGTAAGTTCATTAAATAAGTTAAAGTGTCGTATCAATAACCAAAATTGACAATTAAGTATTAGAATGTTTGCAATATGGAGGTGGTCAACAAATGCATTTCAATATACTTAACGTGAAACCCCGGAAAAGTGAAGATGATCAACATTACTTAAAATCAACATACATCTACAGCTGTCGGTTTTAAATTATTCGAGGATGAATATTATATAGTTTCACATTAAAACGGAGAATCCAGATATGGTTATGTGATTTATTATTTTCTCCTGTCCCCTTAAATACTTAACATTATATGAAATAAATGGAAGCTTCTAATTTTTTAACGCGTTACAACTAAGTACAATAGTAAAGATACTGTCGGTTCATCTATTGGAAGCGATTAACCAGTAGCGATCTTGGAAAACCGTTACGTAATGCCACTGATTGACTTAAACTAAATAAGTTACCCAGTAAATGCATCGTCAATAGTCTGAAGGTGAATCCGCTGCTGCGAGACCTGAAAGTTACGAGTTCTATCCTTAATAGGATTATAGATATACACTACTGAGCTGTTCCATATCAGAATGGAATAACTATATAGTGTTTCCTATTTTCAGTCGCTCATTAACTAAGACTAGTTTTTTATGTTTATCATTATAGTCTTTGATAATTTGTTATTTTTACAACCAATAAATTATAGTAATTTCAATGGTTGAGATCATGAGTCAGTCAAACCTAGACCACCATAGAAAACCTGGAAGCACTGGACAACCATTTCATAATATTGTGGAACTCCTCAGCAGTGAGCATCCCCGATCTCGCCTCGAGAGATTCGAACACAGGACCTACCAGTCACGCGCGCGAACGCTTCACCTCTAGACCACTGAACCGATCGGCATTCAACGGTGTTAATGTCTAACTTCGACTAATCTACGAGATTGAGCAACACATCCACCATTGTCTTCAATGAGTTACTATCTCATAACAGACCTTACAAGTGAAACTGATAGATCCTGGGGTTCGAGTTGCGCGAGGTGGGATCGTGGATGCGCACTGCTGAGGAGTCCCACAATATTACGAAATGGCCGTCCAATGCTTCCAGGTTTTCCATGGTGGTCTAGCTTCAACTGACTCATGATCTTAACCATTGGAACTACTATAATATTCACAAAAACCCTTCTGATATCAATAAATTATACTCTTGATATGAAAATCAAGTGTAAAAATCACAAAATTATATGCAATTTTTTTAAAAGTACATAGAAGTACTATTCATTTGTATATATGTGTTCTTTTAATTATTTCTATTTTAAAGTGGTTGGTGAATTCTTTATTATTGAATTATCAATGTAATTTTTCCATTATATACGGTAAATGTACTCAAACTATTTGAATAAATAATTTTCAGTTTTGTGAACTAAACACTAAGTTTTCTTGAATGAAATAAATTTATCATTCTATTCTATTATTTTATTCAATTAATAGTTTCTAATGGGAAATAATTAAAAGTTTTGATATTAGTTTAGTGAATTAGGTTTATAGATACGCTCGAAACAAGTCACAAAATCGATATATACAAAGTAGGAACTAATGAATGATAATGGAAATTTTCGAAATTATAAATATTTTAGTTTAGGCAATACTGTACCATTAAAATCAGATAAGAAAGTTGAGATTATCGTTTACTTATTTTCAACAGAAAAAAATATCTGATCATATGGAGAACACGAGGTAAAGTCATTGGTGATAACACAGCTAATAAATAGAATAAAGTGTTGTATTAAAGATCAGTAAGTATATAATTCTCATTAATATATAAACTGATAGTGTTCATGGAAATATCAATTACTTAGCATGACTAACTTGTTAAATGAGTTATGATATAGGAAATACAACACCCTTGCCATATAAACTGTCTAAGCACTGAATAATATGTTGCAAAGTCGACGGTACAAACATTTACTTTATGTAATTAGTTACTCATGTTATTATTTTAAGTAGCTGAATTTAAATCCTTAAGGGTGTACCACTTACTTCAAGACTTCAGGTACACTTTATTAAGGAGTGCTAACCATCTAACACTCGGACTTGAGCCACTCGGACTAGTATTTTATCTGTTTAATCTGGTTGGGGTTTTTTAGCTGGATTGTTTTTTTACAGGATGAGGTTACTGACCCAACGCCCAACCCTCCTCCTTTACCCTGGCTTGGGACCGACAGTAACTTTAGAAGAGCTAAAGGTGGGGTTACTCGAACCAGTAGCCACATTTTAATTTGTTCAGTAGAATTTAATCACACTAAGCAAGCACTGTATTGATACCTAATTAGTGATCAATCAATGTATGTACCTATTAATTAAGACGGTATCATAGCACATATTACTAGAATTATGGTCAATAAAAATTATTAAGTGAATGTTAGAATAAATGTTATATTTCGTTCGTTTGCCAATTATTCAACTGCATCACTCTTGTACATTCAATTGGTATCTAGAGGATAAGTGAAAAAGTTTTTAATGTGAGAAGTGCAAGATGAATTTATTTCAAACTACGCAAACCGTTTATTAGAATTCTCTTTTTCAAATAGCCAAATCAGTTAAATAGTTTATAACATGTCAATAGTCAAAAGACAATGTTTTTTTATTCAAATAAAGATCTAACTGTAGGACTTGATTGATTCTGAAATCCTTGAAATTTCAACAAAATCTGAAATTAATTGATTTTGTTTTTTGAGAAGACACAAGTAATGACAAAAAAATATTCACAACTTATCATATCACATTGAAAAAATTCTGAATACTCAAAATTTACTACTGTTCACTTCTCTTCTGAATCCAATAAAAACAGAATCCAATGACAAGTAAATAATGGCCAGATGCATAATAGAGTAAAATATCTAAGCTGATTATTTATCATATGTATTCCACAAGATGCTGAAACATAATTTGGAAAGGATGCTCGAATAAACCCATTTAACTAGTGGCATGTCCAATAAAACTAAGGTGATCAACATTACTGTCAAGTATTTACAAAGCTATCTATTTTAGGAGTAATCATCTACTACTACAATATCATTGAAACATAATAAACAGAAAAACATTAAATTTATTTGAAAAATGTTCAATATAATGACCTGATATATCATTAGACACCATAGAGAAATTGACAGTTACTGGATCTTAATTTAACAGTGCTAAGAAGAAGAAATTGTAGAATAATCAATCAAACTCAAGATTTCAATATAAATTTGATAAGTATCAGAAGGGGTTTTGTGGATATTATAGTAATTTTAATAGTTAAGATCATGAGCCAATTAAACCTAGACCACCATAGAAAACCTGGAAGCACTGGACGGCCATCTCGTACTATTGTGGGACTCCTCAGCAGTGCACATTCATGATCCCGCCTCGCGAGATCCAAACACAAGACCTATCAGTCACGCGCGCGAACGCTTCACCTCTAAACCACTGAACCGACCAGCATTCAACGGTGTTAATGTCTAACTTCGACTAATCTACGAGATTGAGCAACACATCCACCATTGTCTTCAATGAGTTACTATCTCACAACAGACTCGGTTGTGTATAAACTCAAATAGTTGTTTATTAATACCCAAAATATGTTAGTCGCACAACTGTAATTTACAGACTTCATTTTATGTTATTTAAATATGAAAAAAGAGTAAATTATATGTTGAAGCCTTATTCAAATTAGTATTTTGATTGTATTGTACTCTTTAAATTAAATGGCTTACTTGTTGAAAACAATTTCAACATCTACTGAATGTTAATGACGATGGAAATGTTACAGTTCAACCATTTCGGATCTAAAATATAAAAAATATTCAAAAATCTCCATCTCCACTAAAAAATTCTTTTCTTTTCATCTCACACTAGTATATACTTTAATGACTGAAATATGCTAATTGTTTATGATGTAATATAAACCACTAGTACATAGTGCTTTAACTTTGTTTTTTCTTTTCTTTTTTAATTTGAAACCAGAAAAAATTAATTGTTTTAAATGTGCTTTACAAACTCTTCAGGTAATCATTTTTTGTTAATTAGCTTTATGAGTATGAAATAAAATGTACATCATAAACTGTCATCATTTAAATAACTAATCAGAATTTAAATGTATTAATCGATATTTTTTTAGACTTGTTGCTGAGGTGTACCATATCATGAGTAAATAGTTGTTCTGATGCTTTCTAGTTTTTAATATATGTCTAACTTAGACCAATGCATGAAATTGTAGAGGCTGGTTTGCTCTAAATCTGACTCCAAGAAATAGTATCCCGTTAACTGAGTATTTATTTCAGGCTAAATCTCCTAGTAGAATTATGAATTTACTCGAGATTATTCAAAAGTCTGAACGCCAGTTATAGAGATAGTTTATTGTTAAAGATTGGTAAAATCCGTAAGCGTACAGAAAGCAAGCACACAGGGAAACCAAGAGTGTGTGTTAAAAATCCATATATATTTTTGAGTGTTAATCAAGTATGGATTGCCTGTGTATTACAACCAATGGGAGAATAGTTTAAAGATTGATGTGCAGACATGTGCTCAATCAGACATGGTGGATCAAGTGTCTAAATTACAGTGAGTAGATAAATAATACAATAGTTGAATGGGCTTACTACAAAATCAATAAACAGGGAATAATCTCTCCAAACTTCTTTATTAATAATAAAAATCCTATACATCGACTTCTACTTTCAACAATTTCTAACGTTGTATTCAATAAAATTTATGAATGAATATAATTCGATTTTAAAATAATTTATTACATGTTACTAACACTTCTCTCTCTCTCTCCC